CAGCACTAGTGTCTGGCAATGCAGTACTATTTTCCTCCTCAGCCCACTGGCGCCACTTTCAATCTGAGGAAATACATCTTAGAATCTCTTGCTATTAATCTAGATCCATCACATTTTATCTCAAGTGGCCCAAGTGTCTAAAACAGAATTATTATTCATGAGGGCAGAAATAGCTATTGAATTAATTCCATAGATCAGCTAAACAACAGCATTGTACACAATGCTACCCCATACCCATAAATGCAAGCTGGTTCCACTTTACAACAGGAGTGGGCAACCAGCCACGTGCAGAGATAGGCCAAAGGCTTCATACTAATGATAGACACGGATGTAACAATGGTGGACATGGCCCACCCTTAGTTCTCACATCCGCAAAGAAACAGAACAGACAGATTGCCTTCCTCCACCTGCTCTCTCACTCACACATGCTCATCTATCTCAATATATTAAATAAGACTTTGGTCAACCCAGAGTAATGGGACATATCAAAGGAGATACAAGATAGAATAATGAAGACCCTTCAACCTCTGGGGATTGCTGCCATAGATGTGAGCGAAACGTCAGGAGAGAATGATTCTGGATCATGTCCATACAGTCTGGAAAACACACAGCACACCAGTGATTCTGGCCATGAAAGACTTTGACAAGACATTAAGCAAGTAAGCATTCCAAGTTTTATAACTATGTACTGAATTTTTTTCACTGTTTTAACCAAATTCATTTTCTTTTGCTAACACTAACAAATCAGAACCATTGTCATGTAGCACAGTCTTGAAAGATGTTTTCACTCCAAGACAAATAGCCAAATTAACCCAGAGCACATTAAAATTGTATGGCAGAATGGTTCTCAGTTTGGCTTCCATTTCCAAAATTTCCTTGAAGTACATTTTAATTAGCAAAAGTACTTAATTATGCTGTAGACAAATAACAATATCCACTCTGTCAACCATTTTTACATGCCGTGAAAATAATAAATAAATAATAATGAAACACATACTGTAAATATAAACCACTATATAAAAATTAAATCACCCTTAGAGAGCAGGCAGTATTTAGAACAGGGAAAGCAGACAGAGTTAAGAATCTTTCTGAAAATGTCCTATTGATGTTAAAGAGCTGGGGATGTTTAGCCTGCAGAAAAGAAGGTTGAGAGGAGACATGGTTGTTATGTTTAAATATCTGAAAGGCTGTCATAAGGAAAAGAGAGCAGGCTTGTTTTCTGCTGCCCTGGAGAATAGGACTCGGAGCAAAGGGCTCAAATTACAGGAAAGGAGATTCCACCTGAACATTAGGAAGAACTTTCTAACTGTGAGAGCTGTTAAACAGTGGGACTCAACTGCCTTGGAGCATGGTGGATGCTCCTTCTTTGGAGGCTTTTAAGCAGAGGCTGGATGGCCATTTATCAGGGGTGCTTTCATTGTGCTTTTCCTGCATGGCATGGGGTTGGACAAGATGGTCCATGTGGTCTCTTCCACCTCTATTTTTTATGATTTTATGATGAGAGCTCATGAGTCCTTAATTTTAAGTCTAAGGTGCAATCATCGTGACTGAGATCCTTTTATACTCCCAATTTCTGCCAGAAATTGCCATACAAACTGGAACCTTAGCATACATATGAAAATGACTAGACAGGGGTGTCCAAACTTCTTAAGTTGAGGACTTGTTCATGGTCCCTCAGCCTGTTGGAGGGCCAAACTATAGTTTGTTTGTTTGTTTGTTTGTTTTTTAAAAAATGAACGCATTCCTATGCACACTGCATATGTCTTATTTGTAGTGCAAAAAAACCCATCAAAGAACAATACCTGGACTCAATATAAAACGAAGAACAATTTTAACAAGCATAAATGTACCAGCCATTCAATGAGAAGTGTGGGTCTGCTTTTGGCTGATGAGCGAGTCAAATTAATTAGGATTGTTGTTGTTGTGCGCCTTCAAGGCATTTTAGGCAGTGGCATTTATTGCCTCAGTGTCTGCTGGCATGGCCATCTGTTGGGATGGCTTTGTTGCGACAGGTGGGCTTATAGTTGCTGCTTGGTTTTCCCCTTTACTTCTCAAAGGAAGAGCCGCAGCAAAGGGCAGCCTTTTTGGAAAACGCTAGGCCATGATACAAGATGAAAGTGGGACAGAGAAGGAAGGGAGGGGAAGCCAGGCAGGTGCTCAGCCTCCAGAGCCCACCTTTCCCGACCATGCAGAGATGGTGGCAGCATAAAGCGCCTGGAGACAGCAGGGCAATTGGATAGCCTTCTTTTGCAAAAATAAAAAAAAGGAAAGAAACAGATGTGGGGGGAAGAGAGATAGAGAGAGAGACAAGGGGCCACTAAGGTGGGATGCCTGAGGCTAGAGCCACCCAAGGTGAAGATGATGCTTAATTGAGGTGAAGGGATGCAAGAGGCTACCATATCTTTTTCTCTCCTCCCGAGGAGCCCACCTTTTCTGGGCCCTGATCTTCAAGAAGGAAGGAATGAACGAAGAGAGGAAGAAAGTCAAGAAAGGGAGGGAAGAAAGGAGGAAGGGAGGGAAGCCTCGAAAGAGAGGGCAAGTGGAAATTTGAACAGGGGCCGCAATTAGCCCCTGGGCTGGACTCTGGACATGCCTGAACTAGCAAATTCCAAAGTATAATCAAATAGCAATAATAATAATAATAATAATAATAATAATAATAATAGGACTTCCATATTCAGACTGACAGAGTACTGGAGCACAATACTCCTGACCTCACAATCATGTTAAAAAACAAAGTATGGATTGTCAATGTTGCAATTCCAGGTGACAGCAGGACTGAAGAGACACAACTGGAAAAGCTGACACCATATGAGGATCAAAGATCAAACTGTAAAGACTCTGGCACAAGCCAGTAAAGGTGGTCCCAGTGGTGATCGGCACACTGGGTGCAGTGCCTAAAGACTTTGGCCTCCACTTAAACACAATCGGCACTGACAAAATTACCATCTGCCAACTGCAGAAGGCCACATTACTGGAATCTGCACGCATTATTCGCCGATACATCACACAGTCCTAGACACTTGGGAAGTGTCCGACATGTGATCCAATACAACAGCCAGCAGAGTGATCTTGTCTGCTGTGGACTCATCTTGTTGTGTTTCTAATAATAATTATAATAATAATAATTATTATTATTTTTACTTGGCTCTCCTCACGGCTTGAGGCAGGTCATAGCACAGTCAAAATGCACAAACATTGCAAAAATGGCATAAACACACATATTAGAATATAGTTCTAATATATAATATAGTTGGAGCTCTTCCGGCAGGTCGTTCCACAGTCTTGGGCCATCTGATGAAAAGGTCCTCTGGGGAATGGTCACAAGTCAAGTTCTGGCTGGTTAGAGTAGCCCTCCCCCAAAAGGATTTCAATGTGCAGGGCAGGAGAAGGCGATCCTGTAGGTAATCTGGACTCAAATCATGTAGGGCTTTAAAGGTAAAAACCAACACCTTGCACTTTGTCCAGAAACTAATTGGCAACCAGCAGAGTAACTTTGAAATAGTGTAATATGATTACTCCTGGATGCTCCTGCAACCAAGCTGACTGCTGTATTTTGAACCAGCTGGAGTCTCTAGTTCAAAGGTAGCCCAATGGAAAGCACATTGCAGAAGTCCAACCTTGAGGTCCTCCAAATCAAGGAAGGGGCGCAGCTGGTGTATCAGCCAAAGCTGGTAGTAAGCACTCTTGACCGTCACATCAACCTAGGCTAACATTTGGAGAGATGAATCCAGGAACACTCCCAAGCTGCAAACAGATTCTTTTGGGGGAGTGTAACCCCATCCAGAACTGGTTGACACACCTCCGTCCCCAGTTTAGGACACTTGATGTCAAGCACCTCTATTTTGTCTAGATTCCGTTTCAATTTGTTTCACCTCATCCAGCCCATTACTTCCTCCAGGCATTCATTTAGAGGCAAAACACTATCCTTAGCTGAGGCATAATTATATTTGGTAACACCCTGCCCCATGCCTACAGATGATCTCTCCTAGCAGTTTCATGTAAATATTTAAAAGCATTGTGGATAGAATGGCACCTTTGTGGGATGCCACATAATAGCTCTTTTTTTTTTTTGAGGAACAGCTATCATCAAGCACTGTATGACCAGAACCATTGCAGAACAGTGCCTCTGATTCCCAGCCCCTCTATGCATTCTAGAAGGATATCATGGTTGATGATATCTAAAGCCGCTGAGAGATCTAGAAGTACCAACAGGGACACACTCTCCCTGTCAGTGTTGAGACAGAGATTATCCACTAAGTTGACCATAATATGGAATATGGAAGGACTGATGATGAGATTGAATGTTTTTAATTAGGAGACACCAATGATTTATGTTTGTCATGTATATCATGAACTCCTGAGCAGCAACTGACAAACTGGTCTCCAGTGATATGCTGAAGTCACCCAGAATAGGCAGAATCTAATAATGTAAATGATATTTTAAGAAGGGATCTTAAAACTCTTGTACATGTGCATGTGACAATTTTATCTTCTTTTACTCAAAATAAATAATAACTAATATTATTCATTTTCTATTCCACTTTCCTTGCCCCTTGAATCTACAATGTATCTAACAAGGAAAAAAGAAAACAATGATCATACTTCAGGAGAACTTCAAGTTGCTTTATTTATGTTTTAGAAGACACAAAGTAGAATACTTCTCCAACTTCCATTTTAATGGTGTTTGCATGGAACTTTATTGCTACAAGTCTAATATTCTCAAAGTGACCTTTTTACAGGGTCAGATGATTGTCCCATAAAACAAAACTGCAAAAGCATACACATATTTGAGATTTTACAGATATGAGACAAGATATGAGTACAATAATAATCCTTAAGTACTCCACAATTGAAAGTTGTTATGATTTATTTCATAGTTGTTTAACAGTTATATTTGGCACTTACCTACTCTATAGTCCACAGAAGTTGTGAAACATCTCTTTACAGTACTCTTTTTATTTTTAAAAGCACTTGAACAACAGAAAGATATTACTCACGTAATGTCACTGCGTTGGTAGCAACCCTGAAGAAGACAGGCAATGAGATCACTGATGAACTCCACATCATCACTGTAAAGAGCGGCTTCAAGTTCCTAGGAGAGAAACAATTTTTTTTCACAAAAGCTTCCTGGTGAACAAATTCTGCAATTCCATCCTATTGAACAAATTGATAAATACAAGTAAAATATCAAGAATTTTAAAATAATTAAAGCTCTTAGTATCTACATTTCTTCCTTTTTTTTAGATTTACTTAATGCTTTACCATTGTAAGCTCCAGGGAATTACAATTTTGTTAAATTGTCATTCATAATGTGTCATTAATCACTATCTTAACAAGAATTTGCCATTACTTTAGGAACCAGCATCAACAGCATCATGCATTAAACCTAGAAGTCATGAGCAAATGCCTCCTTCACACCAGCATATCATAGCATGAACGAGAACAGCATGCCCCATGTCACTGCCATCTTCCATTTAAATATTATATCTACTAAATACCAAGTTAAACAGCTGGAGTACTGATGTATCGGTGTTGCTGAGCAGTTTGGAGATGGATATGAATACCTTCCACTCTGTAAAACCAAATTTATGTTTCCAGTTGTACATAACTTCAAGCCATTTTTCTAAGAATGGAGAATGAGAAGATCCATTTGCTTGGATGAATTCATTTTGATTCAAATTTGTGTGGAAGAAATGCATTTTAGGAAAATAATGTTTAAAAGTATCAATCCTAATGTGAAAGCTAATGTGAGAAACTAGTTAGCATATGTGCAAAAGCAGATAATCAAACATAGACAGCCAACTGTTACTTTTAAGTTACTTTCTTTATTGGCAAAGAAAGAAAGGCAGAAAAAGTAGGATTTCTACTAGGTCCACTGCACAATATTCAGTCTTGATAAAGGGCAAGAAGCCATTCTCTCTCTACATCCCTCCTAACCCTTTGTGTTTCCCTTTTCTCCTTAAGCACTGAGCTGTGAGCACGGAATGCTGAACCTCGCCAAAATGTTTTTGGTCTCAAGCAGAAAGGAAACAGAAGATGCAGCAAATAAGCACAGAATGCATAAGGGGCCAGTGGAAGGATGTACAAAATGGAGACATGCAATTCCTCTTCCACCCCTCAGTATGTTCACAGAGTACTGGAGTAAAAAGCCTTCTTCTCCCCGCTCTCCAGCTGGCGTCACAGCTCATTAGAGAAAAGCCTGTTTAATATCTCTCCCTCCCTCTGCCTTCATGACTAAATCCCTTCGGAGTCTCGCAGTGGCTGTTGGGAAAACACACTGCTTTCACCAAGGGTATCTACCTCTCCAAGGCCTACAACAGAATGAGGGCAGCATGAAGGTAAATAAAGATCCCTAGATACCAAGCTAGAAAAGAATTTACAGGCCTGCTTCAGAAAGACTGGCTGTTGATCAGACTAAGATGCTTCCTTGTTTAGGTGTCTCACTGATGCCCCAACATTGGCTCAGGAACAAATACCAACTATTTAATACATTCTTCAAAGGAGTCCATCTAACTAGTGATCAAAAGAATCTAAAGAAAAATTAACTCAGAATAATTATGCATTTTAAAACAGGAAGATTTTACAAGACTATTATTTACAGGTTCCAAATATTTTTTTTAAATGTCAGAAGAAAGAGGAAGAATACTGGACTATTCGTCAGCTAACATGATTAACAAAGAATCAATATTTATTTTAATGACAGTTCATATGGAACATTTTCCTATTTTAAAAGTGGTAAAAGTAGCAAACAAAATTACTATTCAAAATCATCATTGTGTTTTTTATAATTTAAAAATATATTAAAATAACAAAAACTTTTATTAAAACAAAAACATTCTTTCAAAAATGAACCAACTGTATGTTACCTTAAATCAAAATATTATACAGTCCTAAATTTAACATAAATGTGCTAGTAAAAATCTGCTCTATCAACTTATTTCCTTCATCTCTGGCTAGCTGCTTTCATTTGTGTGACAGAAACCAAGGGGCTGGCTTGAGCATAGGAAGATAGACCACTAGAGTCCAGAATTCATCAAGCTCACTGTCTACTAGGAGTCCTATACTGAGACCGGCAGAAGCCATATTATATCACAGTGTGATCTGTGCTATGATATGACTTCTGCTAATGATAACAATCCTTAACAATAAAGTAAGAAAGGAATCTTGTATACAAATTTCAGGAGTGGAATTATATACTGCTAAGCCATGGTATCCCCTAAGTTCTCTGGTCTAAGAGAAGAGAGGGAAAGAAAATATAAATAGAAAATATAAAAAAAAACCCATTAAAACAAGAGAATGCCTCCAGCACTCTTGGAAACAGAGTACACGCACACACATGGGAATACCTCCATGCATTATAGACTCATATACGTAATTCCCAGGCCAGAACACCTGCAAATCACACACCATCCTCCAGTCAAGCATACTATCTACTGGGAGTCCCATCCTAAGACTAGTGGAAGCTAGATCATAGCACAGTAGGAGAAGATGTATCTCTAACTAATGATAACCATTCCTAGCAATACATGATCCTGCAAGGAAGACTCCAGCAATACATGGAGCGAGAGTTGCCAGATGTTCAAGCTGGGTTTAGAAAAGGCAGAGGAACGAGAGACCAGATTGCCAATATCCGCTGGATAATGGAGAAAGGCAGGGAGTTTCAGAAAAACATCTATTTCTGCTTCATTGACTACTCTAAAGCCTTTGACTGTGTGGATCATAATAAATTGTGGCAAGTTCTTGGTGGGATGGGCATCCCAAGCCACCTTATCTCTCTCCTGAGGAATCTGTACAAGGACCAAGTAGCAACAGTAAGAACTGACCACGGAACAACAGACTGGTTCAAGATTGGGAAAGGCGTACAGGCTGCATACTCTCACCCAACCTTTTTAACTTGTATGCAGAACACATCATGCGATGTGCGGGGCTGGATGAATGCAAAGCTGGGGTTAAAATTGCTGGAAGAAACATTAACAACCTCAGATATGCAGATGACACCACTCTGATGGCCGAAAGCGAGGAGGAGCTGAGGAAGCCTTCTAATCAAGGTGAAAGAAGAAAGCGCAAAAGCTGGGTTGCAGCTAAACATCAAAAAAACCAAGATATGGCAACAAGAATGATTGACAACTGGAAAATAGAGGGAGAAAATGTGGAGGCCGTGACAGACTTTGTATTTCTAGGTGCAAAGATTACTGCAGATGCAGACTGTGGCCAGGAAATCAGAAGACGCTTACTTCTTGGGAGAGAGCAATGTCCAGTCTCGATAAAATAGTAAAGAGTAGAAACATCACACTGGCAACGAAGATCCGCATAGTCAAAGCCATGGTATTCCCCGTAGTCACCTACGGATGTGAGAGCTGGACCTTAGGGAAGGCTGAGCGAAGGAAGATAGATGACTTTTAACTGTGGTGTTGGAGGAAAGTTCTGAGAGTGCCTTGGACTGCGAGAAGATCCAACCAGTCCATCCTCCAGGAAATAAAGCCCGGCTGCTCACTGGAGGGAAGGATATTAGAGACAAAGTTGAAGTACTTTGGCCACATCATGAGGAGACAGCAAAGCCTAGAGAAGACAATTATGCTGGGGAAAGTGGAAGGCAAAAGGAAGAGGGGCCGACCAAGGGCAAGATGGATGGACGGCATCCTTGAAGTGACTGGACTGACCTTGAAGGAGCTGGGGGTGGTGACGGCCGACAGGGAGCTCTGGCGTGGGCTGGTCCATGAGGTCACGAAGAGTCGGAGACGACTGAACGAATGAACAACAACAAAGCAATACATGTGGTCAAAATTTTAAAAACTTGAGCAGTATTTGAAATTGAATGGAATTTGAAAGGGGTATATATGTTGTGCTACCAGTTCGTCCCCGGAGTAACTTTGGTATTAGTCCAACAAATAGCAAAATAGTAGATGGCATACCAATTATGGCATCAGCTCTATGATAGAAACATTTTCACTTAACTGTAAAGGAGTCTGCCTAAAGCAAGTACTATAGGTTGTCAGCTCCACAGAGGAACAATCATTCTGAACTCTGCCTTGAAATGGACTGGCAGCCAACATAATTGCTTTAGCAAGAGGGTTATGTGATCCTTATAACCTGCTCCAGTCAGAAACCTGACCATAGCATTTAGGACTTGCTGTAGACTCTGAACAGTTTCCAAAGGTAGTCCCAAATGAGATGTAATTCAATTGAGATGTAATCAAGGCATGTATGGATTTTAACTGCAAAATTTTAATGTTTGTCATTTATATTTATATTTATATTTAAGTCTCTTTTAATGTTTCTATATTTTTAGATTTGTATTGAAAGATATTGAAATGTTTTTAATGTAAGCCACTTTGAGTCTCCTTGTAGAGAGAAAAAGTGGATATTATTAATAATAAAAATAATGATGATAATAATACTAATAATAAATGTATCACCATTGCAAGATCTCACATTTCAAGGAACGAGTATAGGTGGCACACCAGTTTTAGCTGTGCAAACACACTTCTGATCACTGCTGAAACCTGGGCATATGGGCTCAGATCTGAATCTAGGAGCATACCTAGTTGTAAACCTGAGATTTCAAGATGAATGTAACCACACCCAGTACAGGCTGAATCGCTATTCACAGAATTGCCATTTAACTGATCAGGAACACCAGGAGCACCTCTGTTTCAATGTATCTGCACACATTCAGTCCACTGCCAACAGCATGCTGCATTTAGGATAATGACAAGTTTTTAAAACGTTTATGTTTTTAAATACCCTCAACTTGCTTCTGACATGATAAATAAAATTAAACCAACCACAGATATTGATTTAGTACAGAGATAGCTTTCTTGGAACTGGATGAAAGGAGAAAGAGTTGGGTGAAATCAGTGTAATGGTGGCATCCAACTCCAAAACTCTAGAAAACCTGTCTCAGAAGTTTCATGTAGTGTTAATAGCATGGGAAACAAGACTGAGTGTTGAGGGGTCCCAGAGGCTAATGGCATGAGGTCACACAGGAGTGCACCAGCACCACCTTCTGAATTCACCCCTCCAAGAAGGACTGGAATCACTGCAAAAAAGTCAAAGTCCTATCTGAGAGGTGACTCAGAAGGATACCATGGT